TGAGGACATAGGTCCGTAGCTTGGGAGTACTACTGGACTCGACACTGTCACTTGATGCTCAGGCATTGGCGGTGGCCGGGAGGACCTTTGCCCAATTAAAACTTGTGTGACAGCTGCGACCGCACCTCGTGAAGTCTGACTTAGCCAGGGTGGTCCATGCCTTGGTTACATCCAGATTGGACTACTGCAACACACTCTACATGGGGCTGCCCTTGAAATTGGCCCGGAAATTCCAACTAGTACAACGGGCGGCAGCCAGGCTCCTAACCAGAGCTAACTATAGGGAGCGTACAACGCCCCTATTGTAACAGCTGCACTGGCTGCCGATAAGTTGCCGAGCCAAATTCAAGTTGCAGGTGATGACCTATAAAGCCCTAAACGGTTTGGGCCCCACCTATCTCTGCAATCGCATCTCCCTCTATGAACCGGCGCGGACACTAAGATCCACTGGGGAGGCCTTCTTCTTGCTCCCACCACTGTCTCAAGCTCAGTTGGTGGGAACGAGGGAGAGGGCCTTCTTGGTGGTGGCCCCCTGCCTCTGGAATGCCCTCCCCAAGGAGATAAGGCTGGCCTCATCCCTCACCTCCTTCCGTAAGAACTTGAAGACTTGGTGGCTTATAAGATATATATACATACAATATATTATATTATAATATATTATATTACAATATCAGTATTAGATATTACTATATTGTACTATTTATTTAATATTTAACCGCCAAGTCTTGTAAGCCACTCTGAGTCCCCTTGGTAAGTCCGTAAGTCCCCTTTGGGGTGAGAAGGGCGGCATATAAATGTCGAAAATAAATAAATAAATAAATAAATAAATAAATAAATAAATAGACATGGATGTGGTGCATAGGAGCTTTGAGTGGTTATCAACCTTGCACTGAGATTAGGTGGAGTTCCAGTGTTTGTTCTTTCAGTTTATAATATATCTGTTTGCTAAAACATTGCCTTGGCTCTCCACTCCCAAGACCTCATGAACTAAGTTATGCCCGGCACTTAATAGTTTGCTTTTATTAGAATGTACTCTTTCATTAATTTTAGCTACTAGTTTTATTGTTTAAATTGTATAACTGCATTACTTTTGAGTTTTTTTTTTAAAAAAGAGAGAAACTGTATGGAACTGTTCTCATATAAACAAAGAATTGAATGAATAAAAGTGGCTTCATACGCCACAGTTAAATGTGAAAGAAACAGCACAAGATGGTATTTCCTTTCAACTATTTACATGGTTCAGTGGTTCTGAGAAAGGATAAGATTAAAATTTATTGTGACAGGCTCTAAATGTTTTCTCCCTTTTATCTTGCACAAGGAAATATTCTGCCCGTTTTTGCACTTCCTGATACTTTGCAATCACATCACATAGAATCCGAGAATACAAAAGGCTTCTCTAATGAATCATAGAATACAAAAGTATATCTCTAATGATACAATATGAGAACAAATATGGTGTGGTGTAGTTGTTTGGGTATTCGACTAGGACCCTGGAGATCAGGGTTTGAATTCCTACTTGGCCATGGAGACTGGGTGACTTTGGAGAAGTCACACTCTCTCAGCCGCAGATGAAGGGAAAATGTCTTTTGAACAAATCTTGCCCAGAAAACCACACAATTTCCTTAGGGTTGCCATAACTTGCCATTAAGATCGTCTGGGGAGGCCCTGCTTTCGTTCCCACCCTCTTTGCAGGCGCGACTGGTGGGAACGGGAGACAGGACCTTCTCAGTGGTGGCCTCTCAGATGTAGAACTCCCTCCCCAACAATATTAGATCAGCCCCCTCCCTCCTGACCTTCAGAAAGAGAGTGAAAACATGGCTCTGGGATCAAGCATTTGGAAAACAATTATAGTGCAATAGATGAACTCGGAATTAAGTGCAATGAGTATTGGAATGGCCTGGATTATCATTGCGGACAGTGTGGTTTTAATAGGGATTGTAATGTTTTAAAATGTTTTAATGTATTTCAATATTGATCTTAATTTTAATCAAAAAAATTATTTTAATTGTACATTGATTTTAAGGCACTGAATTGTTGCCTGTCTGTAAGCTGCCTTGAGTCCCCTTCAGGGTTGAGAAAAGCGGGATATACAGTAGAGTCTCAATTATTCAACATAAACGGGCCGGGAGAACATTGGATAAGTGAAAATGCTGGATTATAAATAGGGATTAAGGAAAAGCTTATCAAATGTCAAATTACATTATGTTTTTACAAATTAAGTACCCAAACATAATGTTTTACAACAAATCAACAGAAAAAGCAGTTCAATACATGGTAACGTTAGGTAGTAATTACTGTATTTATGAATTTAGCACCAAAACATCGCAATGTATTGAAACAGCTGTGGATCCAGGCGGGAGGCAAACTGCGTTGGATAATACAGAACATTGTATGAGCAAGGGTTGAATAAGCGAGACTCTATACTACTACTACTACTACTAATTTATTTACACTCCGCCACCATCTTCCCAAAGGGACTCAGAGCGGCTTACATGAGGCCAAGGCCAACAACATATTAGTAAAAACATCAAAGCAATAACCAAATAAAACAATACAATTAATATAACTTACATATAGACAATAACATGCTGTGATTTAAAAACCTATGGCCAGGCCAGATGTAATAGTTAATTTTTTAAAAATAAACGCTGGGCATGAACAGAGGTAGGATGTATCTAGTAGGAGGGTTTAAAAGAGATGTAGGGAGAACAACCCAATGGGTAAAGTGCTTTTGAGGACATTTTGCAGGGAATTGTTTCCTTTATTCAGGGAAAGCACATTGAAACAGCCACGTTTTCAGGCTCCTCCTAAAGACTGCCAATGTGGGGGCTTGACTGATATTCTTGGGAAGTGAGTTCCAGAGTCGGGGGGCCACCATCGAGAAGGCCCTCTCCCTCATCCCCACCAATCGTGCCCGCGAAGGAGAGCAGGGCCTCTCCAGATGATCGAAGAGATCACGTGGGTTCGTACACAGAAATGCGGTCACGCAGGTAGGCGGGTCCCAAACTGTTCTGGGCTTTGTGGGTAAGAACCTGCACCTTGAATTGGGACCAGACCATGAACGGCAGCCAATGGAGCTCCTTAAACGGGGGGGGGGGGGGGGGG